CAGCGAGCACTCGTTCTGTGTTTGTGTTTCAGATATCGACGAGTGCCGAATCTCTCCCGACCTGTGCGGTCACGGCGCATGCGTCAACACGCCCGGCAGCTTTGAGTGCGAATGCTTTGAGGGCTACGAGAGCGGCTTCATGATGATGAAGAACTGCATGGGTACGGATGAACCGCGCTCAGAGTTTTGAGACGCCACACTGAAAGCGACGTCGATATTTAGCTTTGACTTCCTCTGTGTCCTGCTGTCTTTATCGCCTCACAGACGTCGATGAGTGTGAGAGAAACCCACTGCTTTGTCAAGGAGGAACCTGCCTGAACACAGAAGGGAGCTACGAGTGTGAATGTCCCCCCGGACACGCGCTCAGCGTGGATGGATCGGCCTGTGAAGGTGCAGACGTCACGCCGCCCGTGCATTCATGCATCCTCCTGAGACTCTTTAATAATGAACCAAAAACAGTTTTGTGTCATTTTAAAGTCTCTGCACTTTGTTGTTGGTTCAGATGTGAACGAGTGCCAGCTGAGCGACAACTTGTGCAAGAACGGCCAGTGCATCAACATGATGGGAACGTACCAGTGCTCCTGTGACACCGGTTACCAGGCCACACCGGACCGACAAGGCTGCGTTGGTGAGTAGAGCTAAAGTCAGACTAGAGGGCGTGAAAGCGAGGCAGCAAAGATGACGGGAGCGCAGGAGGTGGAGCAGGGCATCTACTGATCAGGAGGGTGGAGTTCGTTCCCCGGATGATCCTCCCGTCTGTACACCAGAGAAGAAGAAGTTGTGGTCATCTGCGGAGCGGATGCAGCAGAGAAATAACCGAGACAAGCTTTTATGATTATCCTGCAGGACAGAAACATGAGTGGGGCCGTTTATACAGAGAGTAACAGGTGGGAACAGCTGCAGACAACAAACCAAACAAGACAGGAAGCGACAGGAAGCTCACGACACACTTACCAAAATAAAACAGGAAGCTGAACAGGAGGACTTCCACAAAGATGGGACTGCTGGAAGAGAATGGGAATGCTAAAGCAGCGGTCCCCAACCCCCGGGCCTCGGACCGGTACCGGTCCGTGAGTCGTTTGGTACCGGGCCGCGAGAGTTGAGGCTCAGGTGTAGTGTTGATGCATGTGTGTTCTAAGGCTGCGGT